TGTGTGTGTGTGTGTGTGTGTGTGTGTGTGTGTGTGTGTGTGTTCGGTGGTGGTGGGGAGTTGGGGTGAGGGGGAACAAAGTGGTTTGTTTTGTTTACTTTTCTGTTTTTTATTGTTTAAAATGGAAAAAAGCGCCTTATAAATGAAGATTCATTTATGTAATTATTGATTTAGCTATCTATTCAATATATATATATATATATATATATGTATATATTTATGTATTATTCATGTACTTTGTTTTAATGGCATGTTTTTTAATGTAATTTGTATATTTTTCTTGTTTGTCTGTGTATCTATTTATTATCAGTCTATTTCTACATTATTTATTTGTTTAATTATGTTACTTATTAATCTATCTATGTCTAATTCATTGATTTATTTACTCATCTGGAACAACAAAATAAAGAAACGCACCTTGAACTCATAGGACTCCTCAATGACCACCTCCAGCCGGCTGTGCTCCCCCAGGATGGGCTTCCCCATCTCAGCTATCCTCCGGGCCTCCTCCTCCTCAGCACTCATCTGCCCCTCCGACCCGTCTGTGGAGAGCAGAACCGGAGGTGTTTACCTCCATCAATAACAGGCCCTGAGTCTGCATTTCATCAAGGTCTTGACAACCTGCGAGCATCGCGGTGAGATTGAACTAAGTCCGGGAGTGAGTGTGTGCTCAGGCACGGCGACATTAAAACCATCTGTCTGTGTATTTCAGTGTGTGTGTGAACAGAGAGACCATGGATTGGGAACATAAGTGGGGTTCAGACTCCACAATCAGGCAAAATGTCAAACTATTCCAGTTGGTTCTAATAAAATCTTCATCCCTCTTATCTACAAAAGGCATCCAGTTTGTAGATCTGGTTCAGGGAGAGATTTGAAACAGAGATTTTCTCATTATTCTCAACTTTTTTTTTTTTTATATTAACCAAAATGTATCAGATGGAATTGAATTAACTGAGGTAAACTGCATTTTTCCATGGCTGAGAAAGGAAAGTTTTCCTTTCCTCCATTTCAGTGAAAAAAATTGAGGTACTTCAATTCCTCCCTTTAAAGGTCATTGCTCCTATGGATGATGTTTCAGAGTTTAGTGAACTTATATGGGGAGCTTTAAAGCCAATAATATCCTAACTGAAGGGAAACGATGGCAAATGGACAAAAGATGAAGTGCAAACCTAACCACGATTTAAACTTAGAGCAGCATTTCTTTTTACGCTGCTGAAAATGAATGAATTGATTTGGAGAGAGTAATCATCATCAGAGGAGTCTATTCTTCTTCAGGAAGCTTTGATCTGCTGGTATCTGATGAAGGTTTCTAGCGTATTTTATCAGGAAATCTTGTTCTTTTCCTTTGTGTGGTCTGTCTGCTGCTGTGCAGCCGCACAATGATAGGCGGTAAAATAATCAATAAGAAGGTCACTGGGGCAGGCCCGTCAAAGAAAAGGAAAACAACACATGACATGTTTCAGAAATATAAAGAGAGAGGCCATCTGTTGAGGACTTGGTATTCAGGTTTTCAAGGGTTAAAAGGCCATTTAAAACTCAGGATTCCATCATTCTATCATGGGTTTGTTTTGTTTTCCTTTCAATTTTAGTTTAGTTTTTGGGCGTCTTTCTTTTTATAATAAATCTCAGTCCTCCCAAGTCTCTTGTGTCATTCCACGCTCCATTTCGTGACAAGTTTATCACCTGTTTTTGTTCCCTACCAAAGCGCCAGAGTCCGAAGCAGCCGCAGAGGCAATACGCCGTCTGCGTCTAACAAAGGAGGCCAAAAACAAAGAGATAACTCTGGGCTTTGACTAATTCGCTGGCACTTATCTCTAAACTGCTCTGCGCTGAGCTTTACATCGGTCAGTCATGCAGCGATTCGGAGGCGAGCTGGAAATTACCCATCACTCCCACGGGTGAGGCTCCAGAGACACCAGAAAAGCGAGCCAGGTCATTACAATGTGCTGCCGAGTAAACAATACCCTGGCTGAGTGGCTCAGGGAGAAAAAGTGGCGTCTGCTTCAGTTTAATAAAAACGAGAAACAAATGACTTGTTTGTGTAATATGTAAATTTCTGAACACGTAGAATGTAAAAAAAGTTACAATAACGAGAAAGGATTGTTTTTGACAACAATGAGCGTCTTCTGTTTAAAATTCAAAAGGCGGCATTTGTTTTCCAAATGGATGCTGTTTAACTTTCCTGACTGCTTCCATAAATGACATTTGCATATTTATACTGATGGCAAAAATCAACTCATACCTCTTTTGGGAAAAAGTCCCAGGGCTCAGTTGTCATACTTTACCAGTAATATTTACTGCATATACACTCACAAACATCCTCTAAAGCAGGGATTTCAAACTCTGCTCCTTGATGGCCTCTGTCCTGCAGGTTTGAGACGTTTACTGCTTCTACACACCTCGTTCAGATTGAATGGATCTCTGAAACATTGTTAATGAGAATGGTAATGACGCATTGATGTAAATGAGGTGGGAAACATCTAAAACCTGCAGGACAGCAGCTCTCAACGACCAGAGTTTGACACCTGCGCTATAAGGAGAGCGAGCCACACATGAAGGGGTTCTGGTTCACAACAGAAACACAACAAAAATGAACAACCTGCATCTCTTCGACTGCAGCTATACTCAGATACTGTTCAAGGATACAACCCTCCAATTATATTCAAGGAAAACTCAATAGAAATGTGGGTTTTACTGGACAATGAATGATGACCTTGGAAAAAAAACCCAACATGAATTCAATCTACCTGCGTGTGTGTAGCATCAAAATGTTGTGCATAATAAAAATCTTTTCAATTTGCTTTAACTAGGTGACTCAAACACAGAAGTTCAAACAGAGCGATGGAAAATTGAGTTATCTATCCCCACGCATCCGGAAAAACTACTCGGCTGCCATGATAATTGAATAATTACACAGGTTTTGGTTACGTATGGAATATCTTTGGGCACAAAACATGGACCAAATCTAATCACAAAACTTTAGCAAACAGTGAAGAGTGTTTTTCATTATGTCCTGACACTCTGTCAAACAGTTAATGAATCAGTTAACCCAAAAATTAATGAGAAGATTAAGAGATTTTGTGGAGCTGCAGTCCAATTTTTTGACAAATTGAATCAATCTGGGCCTCCAGTTTGAAGCAGAGGGAAAAATCACATGGTCTTACCTTGGTTGAGCAGCAGAGCTGTGGACAAAAAACAGAAGAGCCATAGTGAGAGCACGCAATCAGGAGAGAAAACAACAAAAAATAAATACAAAAACAAACAGAAAGACTCAGCAAAGTAATTTGATTGAACCTTTACGGTCAAATCACTTTGCAGTGAATGACAGAGCTTACAAATTCTAAATATATATCCAAATTTCCACACATTTGTCCCAAATGTGAGCAAAATAACTGGTAGCATGTAAGGCGTTTAGCTCTAAAGCCTTTATGCATTCATACATCTCCACACATAGACATGTAAACTAAATCTCCAATATAAATCAACATTTAGTTTTCAGTGTTATTTCAGGTTAATTTTCATCTGAATTGTGATTTATAACTTCTCCATCTATCTATCTATCTATCTATCTATCTATCTATCTATCTATCTATC